CAGCGGTTAGCTTGTTGCTGGCTTGTCTGAGCCTCACTACTTAAGATTCCTGGTAAGATGCCTTCTAATCCCTCTTAAAAAGAATAGACATGAGAATCTGATTAAACTTAGTATAAAAGTAGTTTACTCACAGAGTCATTCAGGTACACAGATAGATCCCTGAAGGCAGGCTTAGGTTACATGACTATATACAATAGTACCTCGAGTTACAAACGCCTCAGGTTACAAATGCTTCCGGTTACAAACTCTGCTAACCTGGAAGAGTTACCTCAAGTTGAGAAATCTGCCCCAGGATGAGAATGGAAATTGTGTGCTGGCGGCGCAGCCCCATTAGCGAAAGCACCTCTCTAGTTAAGAATAGTTTTAGGTTAAAAATGGACCTCTGGAATGAATTAAGTTCGTAACTAGAGGTACCACTGTATTTATATGAAAAGTCCCATAAGGGAATTAGCAGTCACTTCTCCTAACACACAGGAACATACAAAATGGAAAACACACACTGATCAGAACATGGAGGCCATGTGCTCCTCCATGCTAGTACAACAGACCACACACCCTCTTCAAGTCACATGTAGTGGAAGTCTGTCCCAGCTCAGGAGGAAAGAGGAAGTCTTCTCCTGAGTAGTATAAAACATCCCCTAACATGTCCACTGTAGGAGTGTTGTGCTTGACTGCAGTTTTACATCCCACATGACTGACCCAGCAGGCTGGACATTATCCCAACAAGTAGCCTGGGTTCACAGTTGTCCAGCATCCAGACCAAACTCTGCAATATTGGGATCACATTTTTATAATGCAAAACTTTTAGAAATGAAATGTTTCTTTCAATAAAGTTTTTGCCCCCCCCTTTTTTTTACCTGAGCTTAATGCGTTGGGTTTCTTGTGGACACAAGGATTCTTTTGAAGCCCATTTAACAACCTTTCTGAAGGATTAAATACACTCACCACAAGATGGCTCCCCAGCAGCTTTCAGTTGCATTGTTTCCCCATCCTATCTAGTCTTGCAGTGAAGGCATTGATTATCTTTTGGAAGTCTGGAGTACTACTGAGCAGCTTGTGGATTAGAGCCTTGTCTAATAAAATAATAGCTATTTTTACATTAAAGCCCTGGGGATCTCTTTGAAAGGTAATTCTGTTACTTTAATTTCTGTACCCCATAAAAGGCTGTTATCTAGTTTGTGCCTCTGTTCATATTTTTTTCTAAGAGACAAAGACTGGCTCAGAGAATTCAAACTGATTTCAAGTTTTAAGCCTCCTGCTTTTAAAGGCTAAAGCTGCTTATGCTGTTAAGATTTCCCCATTTTTTAAGTATGAGAAATTTGAATGTCATTTGGGGTTGTTTAAATCTTTTTGCTGGCCTCAGATTTGTGGAAAGCACATCTCATGCAAAGGGGCATGACTTGTGGTGGTTAGTAAGATGTGTTTTCTGGATGACATGTAATCAAATTAGATATAGATTTTCTTGATTTTAAAAATAAACTTCTATTGCATTTGTGCTTTTGTCATTCACCTTAACAAGTGGGGAGTCCAGAATGAACACAGGATACAAATGTTGATCAGATTATTACCATTTAAAAATAGCAGTGCTAGCTTGGGCAAGTTGAAGAGAGAGACTCTTGAGATGATACATGTTCTTATAAATTAAATCTATATTGGATTGCACTTGCATCAGGGATGCCTCTAACACCTATTGGCAGAGCTGCTGAGCATGAACTGTTCTGAAATAAAAAAAAGATTGGAATGTTTGCAGCTCAGACCTGTGGTTGAAAAGACAATTATCAATTTGAGTGGGATCAGTTTAAAATGACACTGATTGTAGGGGGATGTGGCAAAACCATATTGCGTTGAAGTAAAGGTTTTTTTTTTGTAAGAATGTTTTGATAATTTTTTAAAAAAAACTATTTTAAGTGATTAACTGTAAGTAGTATAAAACCCTTGTATTTTACCCCTAACTAGAGCCTTTGCCCAAATTCAGTCTCTTTTCTGCCCATGCACTTACAGGAAGGAAGAAAACTCTTACTAAACTCAAACCTACAGGTTGATTGGTCATTAAAGAAAAATCATCCAGCCACTAACTCCTATTTAGGAAATGTTAACCAGTCAAACATCAATGGCCATTGTATTAAACCATCAGGAATCACAAGATAGCCACTTGACAATACAGTGGTACCTCATGTTGCGTAACCTCCAGGTTACGGAATCTTCGGGTTATGGCCGCAGCAAACACAGAAGCGTATACTTCCGGGTTTCGCTGCTCGCGCATGCACAGAAGCGCTCTGTGTGCCATGCGCAGAAGTGCTCTGTGCATAGAAGTGCTCTATCGTGTCCTGCACAGAAGTGGCGCCTTTAGTTGCAGATTTTTCGGGGTGCGTACGGCACCCCGAAATGAATTAAATCCGTAACCGGAGGTACCACTGTATACTCTTAGCAACCTCAGAAAGCAGATCAGTAGAAATGTTTAAGAAGCCGGGCGTGTGCTTGGGAAAATCTATTTGGGCTTCAGCACACATTTCAATTATTTTTTTTCTCAAAACTAAAATTCACGAAAGAAAAACTAAGAAAATCATTGACATTTTCCGTGCCACTGTCTCATTAAATGAAGTGGCAAAGCCTGTTGCAGCCTAGTAGGTTGGGGGGCAGAAATTAAACTTTGTGCAGTTTAATTTTAAATGGATTTAGGGAGGAAGCATTACTGTATTATACTCTAAAAAGTATTATATGCCAGGGTTGGAGTCAGGTGTAGATCAGCAACAAAACACCCGAGGCCACTGAAGTTAACTCTTTATTCAAGGAAACAAACCACAGCTCTGGTCTAGTGGTCTCAGCAACTCTTTCTTAGGTCTTGCGAGGACTAAAGGTCCTGCTTTCCTGGTGCCCACTAGGAGATCCTCCTCTCCATGGTGTTTCTCACGCTGTGTCTGTGCACAGCCACCCTTTGCTCTGCCCATTTCATTTCTCTGCATGTTCAAGGAGACCAGGGCGAGGGGAGCTGGTTGCAGCAGGAGCGGGGAGATTCCCTGGCTTCTTCAGCAACATGCTTCTCTGTCTCCTGGCCTTTCAGCCCCTGCTTCTGCCTCAGAGTCTGAACTGTGCTCTGCCGCAGCTTCTCCCTGTTCACTAAGCCTCGTCCCCTCTTCTACTTCTGATGCCTCCTCTCAGTCTGCTCCTTCTTGTCCCTCTGACTACTCATCATCACCCCACCACCAATCCCCTGGCTCTGAGCTTCCTTCCCCTGGGGTTTCTCCAGGGGGTTCCCCGGCTGGTGTCTCCCACTTGTCCTCTGCATCCAGCCAGTCAAGATATTATACTTCTAAGTATAGTATACTTCACAACTTGTTAGCTTCTGACGAAAGCTTAAGCCATAATAGGTTTGTGGTCCTGTAATTCTAGACTATTCTGAATCTGCTGATCATTATACGCACACATAAAGGCAAGCCATTTTTTTCATTTAAAAGCAACTTATCACTTCTACCACATGCTTGGCAGCATTCAAGAAACCTTTCAAAATGCCTCTCTTTCAGATTCCAGGAGACTCTTGATTTTGTTCAACAGAGACCCTTCATACCAACCCATAGACATCTCTGCTACCCTATGTGGTTGCCAAAACTAGAACTAAAACTAAAATTGTGTGGCTTCATTCCACCAAATGGATTTTCGACATCAGCCCTAACTGGGGGGGGGGGGGCAATTACATGAGGTGAGCCATTCATTCATCCCCACTCACATTCTTGCTGTAGTCAAATATATACTGCATTCATGTAAAATCACATAATTCAAATGGAAGGTGTGTGCATTATGTGTCTGTCAGTTTCTGTCGGGGGGTGGCATAGCTACCCATCTGGAATAGGTTGAGGCTATTAGCTTCTTGTATTGTTTGTGTGCATTCTCTCTCTCACCAACCTACTCATAAGCCCTTTCATGGATTGGTTCAGCATTAACACACATTCCTGAAAATATTTAGACTGAGTTATACAGTTCAACAAAGATTTATTTCTGAACACACTCAAAAAGCTATTTGCGAATTCCCTTTCAAATGGAAAAAGAAAGAACTGTAGGTTGTAATATTTAGTCTGAGACACAGAACTGATGTATTGAATTAGCTCTGCTTCTTGAATGAAATGAATCTACAGAGCCCTAATTATGCAGAAGTTTCTAGCAATTGAGTCATTTTGACCACTGTACAGTGGTGCCCCGCAAGACGAATGCCTCGCTAGACGAAAGAGTTTTCCGTTTTTTGAGTCGTTCCGCAAGACGAATTTCCCTATGGGCTTGCTTTGCAAGACGAAACATCTTGCGAGTTCTCGCGAGTTTGTTTCCTTTTTCTTAAAGCCGCTAAGCCATTAATAGCCGCTAAGCCGTTAATAGCCGCTAAGCCGCTAATAGCCGTGCTTCGCAAGACGAAAAAACCGCAAGACGAAGAGACTCGCGGAACGGATTAATTTCGTCTTGCGAAGCACCACTGGATGTAGTCTTATTGCCCCCACATCCAGAAAGGAGACTCAGAACACCTTATTAAGTACAGTGGTACATTTGGTTGTGAATGGGATCCGTTCCAGAGGTCCGGCCATATCCTGAAGTTTTCGCAACCGGAGAGACCGCTTCTGCGCATGCAGCGAAACACTTCTGGGTTTGCCGCTTTTGCAACCCAAAGTTTACGTTACCCAAGGGTAACGTAACCCGAGGTTCCACTGTAGTTAAAAAGTTATATTTATTTAATGTCCACTCAGTGTGACCAGTGGGGAGCAGAGTTTGTGGCCTGGCGTGGGGCCCCGCTGCCTTTGTGGAGCTTTGCTGTGCCATACCCTTGGGCTGGGCACCGCCTGCTCACAGACACTGTGGAGCACCCTGGGTTCCTGCCAAACCCAAATTTGAGCGGGCCAATCTGCGGCAGCCGGGGGGGCAGGTTCAGGAGAGTGGATCGGAGGGGAATAGGCTCCACTCCTCTCCTAATCTTTAAAGGGGGCCTGAGCCAGTGGCAGGAGTGCACTTGGCCCCAGAGCATTTTCCGTAGTGTAGTGGTTATCACGTTCGACTAACACGCAAATGGTCCCTGGTTCGTAACCAGGTGAAAACAGAGTAAGATTTTTTCATTGTAAAAATCAAGAGAGCTATCTGCAATGTGATTCTGTGTCTTGGCGACTGAGTGATTAGGCATCCGGACATTAAATCTGTCAGACAATACCTCAGGGTGGCAGTGAATTAAGGCCTTACCTTTCCTTACCTGCCCACACTGTGTGTGAAACAGCCAAATAATACTAAGTCAACATTGAGTTTTCTACAGTGTGGAGGAATTCTCTACATGTCCATCTGGGGTTCCCCCAAAATTACTACTCAGTCTCATAAAAAGAAAATGGCCAAAGCCCAGACTATAGAGGGAGGGTGCTGAAAATGGGTACAGAGGGAGAAAGGAGGATGGAGCAGCTAGTCTGACTTCTCTGATTAGACAGATGCCCTCATATGGCTCACGGCCACCTCCCAGAGGAAGATACGACATTGAGACCCTTTCCCCTAGGAGGGGAGGGAGCAAACTCACCTCTGCCAAGGACAGGAGCAGAACCATCAGGATGCAGTGTAATCTCTAGAAATCATCAAAGGTAAATTAATTATGATGAGCATGTTATACACCATTACTCTTATTTATTCCTCAAATGGTGAACATTTCAGTATAGTGAATCCCCACCACAAAATATCCAGATGTTTTCGATGAAGAAATATGGCAGATTCCAGTTCCCGGAGTCTGCCACTGGTATTGCTGGGACAAACTACTAAATCTGTCACAAAATTCCACTTTAGACAGATTTCAGTGGCAATTCTACAAACATTTAACCTCTGAACATATGGTGACCACCACATGTTATTGCACTTTGAACTCCAACCACATGCCATAGAGATCCAGCTACACAATACTCGCAAAAGACAGTGTGCAGATGGGGAAATCGTAATCTGAATCCATCCCATGCTAAAGTACACAAAGAATTAACTATTAAAAGAGAAGGTATATGTGCAATGTTAACTATTAAAAGAGAAGGTATATGTGCGATCAGATTCTGGCTCATCAACTTACTGCAGAAAGTGGTGGCTTTATATTGAAAGTGGCATACATGAATAGCAGTTAACCAGGGAAGGTTCTCCCTCATTTAAAAAGTGTTTAACCTATGTGGCAATCCTCTTATGTTCAGCCTATGCACAGAAGCATGGCTTCTTTCCAGCCCATAGTTCATGGGAGCGGAAATGCCACATATATAGGGGTTGTTCGGGGGGTTAATAAAACTAATGCATTTTTTCCTTCTCATATAAATTAGTCCAAGGTGTTAACTAATAGAATCCAGGCAGTGATCTTAAACAGATTATGCTAATAAATGCCGAACCAAGAGTGTGTGGCTCTATGTAATTGGAGAGAACAAATATTTCAGCACAGCTAGCCCTGAAATTGCCTAGGTGTACGAAGTAACTTGTTGAATTTCCACAAACCTATATAAATACTGTTGAGAAAGATATGCCAATTCAGGCGCTTTGGTTATATGAGCTCTGAAACAGAGCACTGCTTATCAGTAAGGCTCCTGAACTATCAGCACCCTTGCTGGGAAAGATTTATGGCTAACCTTTGCTAGGTTGGTGGCAAATAACAGTGGGGAAATGTTTCTTACAGAACAGGCAGTCAGGTGGCTCAACATGAAATTAGATATGTTTCCAGACTTAGCAGGTAGCTGTAGGTCTGATTGAAATTCGGGATCTCAAATAACAAAAGAAAGAAAGACTCAGTACCTGGTCTATGGTCTTGCCACTGAAAAACCGCTGTGATGTTTTCAGCACTACATGCACTTCAGAGGAACAGCATGGCTTTGATTCGGTGTGGTATGTTGGTACAGCACGAGGCCTTCCACTCCTAGGAAGCAGAGCAAATGATATAATTCTCACAAGTGCATTACTGAACATCAGTCTCCCCCTTTCAAGTGTCCTTCAACTGCTTTGGTGGATCCAGGCTTATAAATAAATGTCCCTTGAATAACCACGACATTTGTATTTCTGTCTTCAGTATCCCAGGGCATCTCTCTGTTGTGCCAAACAGCTTTAGAATGGAGACAAAACCAAGAGAACTCCAGTTCTTATAGGAAAACATGAGTTTCATACTGCAGCTATGGGAAAGTTCAAGCCATATGACACCTTTTTGCAGAAAGTGCCTTGCGAAAGAGTCAGTGATAATTGGAAATGATACATTACTATCTCAGTCCGATGTTTTACAGAGGAGATATGTTGACCTCCATCCATCTTTGGGAACAACAGTGGGAGACCGTGTGATCTTGCATGATTGCACAATGCACAGGGATGCTCAGCTAATCTGCTCCCACTTCCTTCTCTTCAACCAGCATGGAACAAGGAAGGTACAATCCACTATTGTACCTATCTGACCTTTGCCAAATAGGAAAAAGTCAACTTTTGGAGGAGGTAGTCAAGCAGCAGGGAGGTCTCAATGGTGCATATGGATGGGGGACAGTTCAGTTTGCATTTAAAAGCAAACCTATCTAAATATGTGAAGCGAAACACAGCCATCCTTCAGAATTCACACTTCTCTGAATTTAAGCAAGTAGTTCTCAAGCCGAGTAACGTGTAGAAAAGTACATATACTGGGATGGATGTGCATGAAAATGAATATATTAGTGGAAATAACATACAAGAAGTCATTATATTCGGGTAAATAGAGTTGCATAAAACACATATACTATTCTTCAGAGAAAAATGTGTAATATTAGGAGAAATTTACACTAAGATACTGCTCAATATTCATGATAATATTTTTTATTGCAAAGTGAGGTGGAAATGTGCAGCACACTGAACGTAATATTGGAAAAATGAGAAACTGAAAAATTGACCAATTTGTCCACATCCCTACTAGTCAATGAAGCATTATTTCCTTTCCCTATGTGTCATTTCCATGGTCCTCAGCAGGAAATGATGCTCCCGAGCATTTCCTGCCTTTTGCAACTCCTCCCAGCTGCTAGTTATCTCTCACATAAAATCAGCAGAAAGCATGAAACCAATATAAGCAGCACGAAAGCAACATTTATTCTAATACGTCACCACAGGATCTGTTTGATGAAGGCTGCCCTCAGAAATAAATGGTAATGGAATATGATAGCATAATGTAAAACTAGCCTAAAAACTACCGAGAGGAAAAAATGCTAAGTGGCAGACATGTGAAATGCACCATAAAAACCCAAACAAAATTATGAATGAACAGATTAGAAAGCATCTCAGACTGATGATGGACTGTACTGCCCATCCATACTAGACAGGAAGAGCTCTTTTGCTTGCCACATGAGAAATGGAATATGTAACTAGGCTCTAAATCAACAAGGCATAATTCTGATCAAACATGGTTAGGCTCAGGCTGCAAGTCACAGTTGAGGACATTGTCTGCCGTGTTTTAGCATCATGGACATGGGTTAGTTTAAACTCTGAATTGCAGTTTTCTTTTGAAACACTGAGATGCACTTCTTTATACATTTATATGAAGTGGCACAATATACTGCCTGATTTTAGATCTCCTTCTGCAGTAGTAAATGGTACCCAGGTGCTAGTGTGTCATATGGAAACTGTGATAAACTACTAGTGGTAATTGGGTTCACTCTAAGTATGGCACTTGCATTATCCTGGAAAGGAACTGTGAATAACATTGGTTGTTTCTGCATACTGATTTACACATATGAAATTGCTGGAGCTCGAGAAGAGACTTCAAAATATGTAGGCGTACTAAATCAGTATGCAAAAATTGCCTATTAAGAATAAAAAAATATGTCTCAAACCAAATATAGTCCTTGAATATATAGAAGTATATAACCATATATCTTTAAGTGTACAGAACCTTGCAGAAAGTATCTAGGTTACAAAAATATCAGCCTCTCTGTATAATGTATTTCCATCAATTCACAAGTGTATGGATATTCCCCCTGCATGCTAGTCTCCTGAATTTTGAAACTTCCCATATAGCTTCAGCCACCACTGAAAATAAGTTCAACTGTGGGTGCTCAAACTTTGAACATTTCAGTAGCTTAGCATGTCATAGCAGGACATAGTCCAAATCATATACCAACACTTTCTGTGGCAGGCAAGAGGTGATGGTAGGAGTACCCAGTGCATTTTTTTGTGTGGGATGTTGGGGAGGGGTGAGTGATTCTACAGTGACATACATGGAAGGATACAGAAGAAAGACAGAAGTCCTACTGGGTCCAGAAGCTGTCACTTGTGCAAAATGAAGCATCTAGGCTAGGCAACCTGAGATATTAGATACCTAATATTGGCCTGGTCAATAAGATCTGTTAGTGAGGCCCTATTAATTGTCCTACAGCCTTCAGAGATTTGTCTTGCTAAGGGGGGGGGGAGAAGAGAAGTCTCTCCCTCATAATGTCCTGGCAGTGGCGTAGCGTGGGGGGTGCAGGGGGGGCCGGCCGCACCGGGCGCAACATCTGGGGGGGGGGGCGCGCTCGCACTCGCAGCTCTCTGCCCCTACCTGGCTCACTCACTCTCTCTCACTGCAGTGCTGGCTGTGCGAATCCGATCCGAGCCGCTGGGTCGCCGCCCACTATGGAGGGAGTGGGTGCCAGGCGTGCGGCGCGGAGAGAGAGCGAGGGACTATCTGGGGGAGGGACAGTGCAGCGACCGCCCAGCGCAGCGCTGAGCGCGGGAGAGAACCACACCAGACCAGACCAGGCAGCAGCAAGAAGAAGCTGGCAGCGGCGGCAGGTTAGGGGTGAGGGGGCGCAAATTACTTGCCTTGCCCCGGGTTAGGGGGCGCAAATTACTTGCCTTGCCCCGGGTGCTGACAACCCACGCTACGCCGCTGTGTCCTGGCATTCTGTGTGACCCTCAAACTGCGCAAGAAGAGGGCTGAGGCTTAGCCAAATGATAATGTAGGTGCACAAAGGCTAGGCTTAAAGACTGTCGAAAAGGGATAGGGAAATTTTGGTCATCCAGATATTTCTGGGCTCTGACTCTCACCATAGTCACTGGGACTTATAGGAGATGCAGGGGCGTCTTACCCATAGAGGCTAGTGGCACAGGGCACCAAGTTCTGGA